GATCATATTTATAATATATAAAAAATAAACATACATTTTGCAATTATAAAACAACGTAGTCTAAGCTCTAAGGTGTCAATTTTTGTAGTAGGTTTGGGAAAATCCTAGGGTAAATTTCACTTGGAATGTAATATGGGAAATTCCTTAAAATTTCTTTTTAACAATTTATAGTATTTTGTCAAAAACAAGATTGTAACCATTTTTCTAGTTATTTATAATTGTAAAACAAATATATAAAAATAAACCTAGAAAAATAAATCCGCTTAAATGCTGTTAGAAAATTACCTTTTCTATATACAACAAAGTAAAAACAAACTTTATTTTATTTAAACCACAAATTTACCGATAAATTCGCTATTATTTAATTAACTCTTCGTTTTGACCTGATTATTTTTGATTCATTTTATTTCTTTAAATAAAGCATTAAAATTAAACAGAAGGGAAATAAAAAACCTCCGGCGGAAAACTAATAAGACCTACTGACGTAATTCGAAAAATAAAAACGCACAACGTACTCGGGCTTTATTAATTCAAATTAGGTGAAAAAGATGCGTAGTTTAAAAAAATGTACCAAAAAGATAACAACAACTCCCGGGGGTAAAGATTTTGTTTTCTTAGGAAAGCGATTAGTTTTCTACCATGAGTACATTTTTTCGAAATAAAAAAAGAAATATAATTTTATTTTCATTCGGTGAAAATATAAAACAAAATTTAATTAAAAAAAAATTAAAAATCTTTTTTTTCTATACGTTATTAATACAAACATTACAACGTTACTCAACTCAAAAGTTCAGAGTACACGCATTTAAAAAAGCGGAAACCTTGTCATTAAATTCTTTTCCGTCCTGTTTTTTGATAAGACTAAAATATTTTTTGAAATCTAAATATCGAAGAGGAAAAAACTACTATAACTTCAGTAAAACATATTTTAACAATTTTTTCGATATACAAACCATAGATACATTGAAGGTAATTTTTAAGTAATAATTATAAGTACTTTACGTATAACTCATATTAAAAACTGATAACGAAATGACCAATTTAATTGCAATATCTAACACCTTTAATTATCATATTATTGCTATCCCAGAAATATGGTTTTGAAGTTACTCAGTACCAAATATTGATGGGTATAACCTATATTGTAAGGATCGCCAAGACGGACATTGAAGTGGTGGTGTAGCTATTTACATTACCAACGTGTTCAACTATCGATAAGATTTATTCTTATAAAGAATATTTATTTTTTTCGAATTATTTTATTTTATCGATAAGATTTTTAAAACTGATTAAATACCAACGTATTTAATCAGTTCTAAAAATCAGACATACTATGGTTCCTCAAATAATATGTTGTAATTGTTATTTACTTACAACTGTGATTCTATTTTATACATGTCTCCTGATGCTATTCTAGATTATAACACTAAGGGTCATTTTATAATCATTTGAAGAAACTTAGTTTCAGAACCGTTTCCTTAAAGTGAACCTCAATTGTTTAGTTGCAACAAAGGTGATTGCGATTCGATATCAAAATTTGTTGCATCAATCGACTGGAATATTTTATTTCTACAAAAGACCGTGGATAAAATGTTCAATTTACTAATTTCTAACAATCTCACCAAGATTTAAAAAAACAAAAACAAAATGATCCTTACTCCACATAATAAAAACCTGATCTGAAAAAAAAAATCTGAAAGAAAAAATCTGCTTGGTAAACTGTTCATCTAAATGGAAAAGTAATGAGCTTAAAATAAATTACAAATCTTTTCGTAAAAGCTGAAGTATTTAACGTAGAAAGAGCACACGAAAAAGAAATAATATCAAAAACCCAGAGCAACCTAACATTAACAAACAACTAAAAATTAAAGAACTTGTTCTCTCAAATTTACTTAAGCAAATGTAGTTGATCTTCTGAACTCTCAGTTTACAACTATTTAAAACTTGAAATTTCCAAATATTTTATATCGTTAAATAAAATAGATATTAAATGGCTTGGGTTTCTCTTTTTTAGGCATGTCAAGGAACTTACCTTATAAATCTTTCGAATCTCACGGCTTGCATTCCTTAATACTTAAGATATGTGCTTAAGATATGTACTTAAGATATGTACTTAAGATATGTTCTTAAGATATGTACTTAAGATATGTGCCAAAAAGTTGCAATTTTACTTGCTATAATCTTTCATGAACCCTTTTTTTTCTGGAACAGTACCCACTCTCTTTATTTCTGGAACAGTACCCACTCTCTTTATTTCTGCAACAGTACCCTCTCTCTTTATTTCTGGAATAGTAACCACTCTCTTTATTTCTGGAACAGTACCCACTCTCTTCATTTCTGCAACAATACCCACTCTCTTTATTTCTGGAATAATACCCACTCTCTTTATTTCTGGAACAGTACCCACTCTCTAAAAACTGGCAAATATTAATCGAGTCTATATATATAAAAAAAAAGGTAAATTACTTACTAAAAACTATTGACGTATTTCACTAACCTCTGCATGAAAAATCTTCAAAGTAATTGTAAAGAACAAAATCTTAACCGATATTAACGACGATAACATGGTCTTTGCAAAACAACATTCTTTATTAATGTAACCAATCTTGATTTCGCCAAAACTTTTGATTCTGTACCTCGCAACAGACTTATGTTAAAATTAAGATCTTTCGAAATAAACAGTAAACTCTTACAATGAATTAATTTCTTTTTAGTAGGTAGAAAAAAAAACACGTTACATTTAAAAATACTCTGTTTGGATTGATATTATTAGTAATGTTCCTCAAGGTTCTGTTCTCGGCCTGCTTCTATATATTCTCTATATAAATAATGTTGCAAAACTTACTGAAACTTCTGAGATATTTTCAGGTGACACTAAATTTTTTTATAAAAAATTAAGTATCATTTGCAAATATCTCAATCTAATTTTTTTCTATCTGCAGGATTGATACGAGGTCAAACACTTGGATACTTAAGTTAAACATTTCCAAATGCTAGGTTATTAATTAAGGTTAAACCAACCCTCGTTAAACTTTCTGCAAAATAAGCAAGGCTTTATTGCCTAAGAAGACCTACTAAAGAGCATCTCAAGTGGATTACACATATTCAAACAGGTGTCTCTTAATCTTTACCAATATTTGGTATGCTAAAAAAGACATTTAGTTTCATTGATGAAATTATGGCTATCATGTTAGATAAAATGGTTTATGAGACCACACCTTGAATATGCAGTGTCTACTCGGGCTCCTTATTTAAAAACAGATACAGCCTTGGTTGAATCTGTTTAACGCAAATCAATAAAATGGGTTTTCAGTTTGAAACGTCTTCACTATTTCGAAAGGCTAAGAAAATTAAATTAACCATCACTTAAGTTTTGTCGCCTACGATTTAATCTAAATCTTTAAACTAGTTGTTTTGAGATAATGATATAAATCTATCAAAATGTATTAACTTGTGACCATCATTCTAAAATAAAGCGAAAGCATGCTCCAAACTGCCTTCCAAGACACAATCAGTTATATAATAGACCAGCAAATTTCTGGAATAAACTAACTGAGCAGAGAACCATCTACGTTTAAAGTCTTCTTGAAAGACCTAACAACCTAAATTAAAATACAAATGTATACATTTTATTTCAACAATAATAAATTATAAATACGGTATAAATTGGTATGACTTCAACAATAATAAATTATAAATACGGTATAAATAGGTATAAATAATATTGGTACTTTATACAGACCTTTCAAAATGACTAATAATTATATTAAAGCTATTGATAATATACTAAAAAACTTAACGTAAGATATTTCTAAAATGACACAGAAATATTAAATCCTCAACTCATATAAACGAACCCTCTACTTCCTAGTTAAATGCTTTTCCGCGGCGCTGATGAGACCAAAAGGACTTCTTGGACCACCTCAATAACCACAAAATAAAAAAAAATAAAAAAAAAATTATATAAGTTGTCCGTTGAGCACGCAATCAGACAAACTGCATTGATAGCTTGGATCTTGCTTGGATCACAAATAAAATAATTCTTAACTCGCATTATCTAAAAAATAAAGGTTAAGCTAACTTATCCATTTACAAACAATACAAATATCTTTTTGAAAAATATTTTCAAAAATTTATATTACTCCGCCCATATAGAAAAATTAAATTGAAATATAAAAAAAATCTGTGACGTGAAAAAAATAATAGGTAAAAGCATCGTTAGCAAAATACCTCATTGGGTAATTAAACAATACTATTTAGGCCATGATTAAAAAAAAAATGAGTTTAGTAATAAAGATAAAATGTCAAATGAATTTATCAATTACTTTTCAACATTGGTCTTGAGTTGAGCATTTAGAGTTCAATGCACAAAATATTAATTCAAAAGTTGTTTAACGGACTTTTGTTTTTTAAACTGAAATGACTTGTATCATAGCAACCAAATTGTATTATAGCAAACTCAAGAAAGCTTTGACGGATTATTTTATGAGCTTATGAAACCGCTAAAAAAACAAGTTTCAATATATAATGAAGACATTTTTTGTAAAGTAATGTTATATACTTTTGCGTAATTCTGTTTTTCAAACTCATCATTTATAACAGATTTTTTTACCAGATTAATTAAAAATTTCCGAAATCTTATCATTATATATAAATTAGGAGAAACTAAATAAACAACTAAAGATCTTGATCCATTGTTATATCTCGATCCAACCTCTCTTTTTTTACATCATATGATGTAAAAAAAATTAAGCTTTAAAATAATTGATGATGTAAAAAAATCTTTAAAATAATTCAAAAACTCACCAGATAACATTGATTTTTCGTGTTCGAACAAAGATGATTACTCAAAATTAATAAAGACGGTGTTGTACCCCAACACTTTCGCATGCACTTTTAAAAAAAAATTACCTTTTAAATTGAATATACAGAACCTATATGCGATATAGGGAAAAGGCGCATATGACGGCATACTTAACTGTGAAGCTTCATTATTCAGT